AAAAAAAAAAAAAAAAAAAAAAAAACAAACAAAACAACAGCAACAATAACAACAACCATGCTGAACATGGAAATTTCAGTTTCCTGGAGAAGAAGGGTAAGCCTCCTTTGAACATGGTTCTGAGGAATCCAGTGCACACTTGAGTGTACATGCATGTGCACAGAGCACATGGGCACAGATGACACACGTACATGCAGTACATGTACAATATGCAGCCCATACACGTGCACACACAACCTGTGCTCAGCACACACACATGCATATAGGCCCATTCTAACTGTTGTGCGAGTTTCATGTCTGGAGTCTAGGATTCTGAGAGGGCAGCTCTTTCTGTGCTCCTTCCAGGGTTGGGGACTGTGAGCCCCCACAACCCACTGAGAGTCAAGCCAGGCCTTACCTGCGTCAGTTCCCCAGCATCCTCTTTGGAAAATAGCGGCTGGGCCCTCTGCAGCTGCTGTTGCCTACCCTCCTGGCCTCCTGTGGGCAGCTCGCGGTGCGCAGCACAACCCATGAGCCCGGATGCTAGAATGAAAACCTGAGGTCAGTGGGAATGTCTTTCAGAAGGCACAAACCACACACAAGAGTTCGGAACCGCACAAGGCAGTCAAGCCTGCTGAGGGTACTGGCCCAGCTAAGTGTCTGCCTGTGTATCACGGGCTCTGTCCCCAGCTTCTGAGAGCTGAGAGTCTCACCTGGGGCCCGCCTGGTCCCACACCTGCCCAAGTGTGCAGCTTTGCAGATCCCAGGGCTTCTTTCTAAGGAATGGCCTTGTATCCAGCAGTGGTTAGTTCCGTGTGTGAGACAAAACTAAAGATGTGGCATATAAAACCCAGAGCTGTTGAACTGTGATGAAAGGTCCATAAAACACATCACCAAAAAGCACAGGGATGGCTGAGCTATTCCAAAGCACTGTGGTTCAGAGAGCACAGGAAATAACCAGCCTTGGGCCAAGCTTCATGGTGTATGCACCCAGCCACCCATCTGCACATGGGGGTGAGTTGCAGCTGCCTGGGACAGCCATGCTAGGCAGGACTGAGCATCTTCAAGGCTCAGGGCTGCCATGACCTCTGGGCCTCTCTGAACCCTGCACACTGGGTTCAGCCAGGACAGGGTAGGGCCTGCTCAGGGTGCCAACTTCACGGTGATGCATGGCTCCTGGTGGCCAAGACAAGGTGCTGCCTGTCCAGTACCTACAGAGTAGTTCCAACTGCAGCCACGTACCCATGGCACGCACAGGTGAGGGCTGCACTGAAGGTTTGGTCCTGGCTCTTCTCTGTAATATAAGCTCTGTAAGTGGGGTGCTGTGGCCAGTGCACCGGTCAGGCCATGGAGAAAAGGAAGGTGATCCAAGCCTCCAGGCCCTCTCTCCTGGGCCACAGGACACGTGCAGCAGCCTGCAGGCCCTGCTGGACACACCAGGAAGGAGAACAGAGCTCCCAAGGCAGAGCTGGGAGCACAGAAGCCAAGCAGGCAGGTCCCCAGACATGCCAATGTCTGGGCTGCTCTGTCTTGCCCAGGAAAGGAACCAGGCACATCCCCTCCAGGCTCATCTCCTGTAGTTAACCTTCACGGTCACTTATTGTCCCTGTCCCTAATGTCTGCAGGCAGGGTGAGGACAGCAGGAAAGGGGCTCAATCAGGGCAGGGAGGCCCTTTAGTGCCATGCCCGCCCTGTGCCCCTTCTGAGCCTGCTCTCATAGGAATCTGCCTTAGGATGCATCTCTGGCACCACTGGTCTCCTACCCTGTTCTTCAAAAACACCTGGCTGCAGCCAGCCAGACTTCTGGCCTTGTGTCCATCTTGTGCTAATGCTGTGGCGCTCCCTCACGGAGCTTGGGCCAATCCATGGCCTCCACAGGACAGCGGGCCCTGGCAAGACCACACAGGATGCTGGCCAGGCAGAAAGGGTACAGCCTGCAGGTCACAAGGAGTAGGGTGGGACCCCATCTACTGCTCCCTGGCCTTGCCCTGCAGGCCTGCTATGGACAGAAGTAACCCCTCTGTGGCCATGGTGCCCAGCTCTGCGCATGTCCTCAGTGGTCCTCGGGGCCTCTTGTAGGGACCCCCAGTTCCAGCGTAGGCTCTGAGAAGTGGTGGAGCTGCAGAACAGGGATACCTGCTGCCTGTGCACACCCACGGCTAGGCCTCTGCATACAGCCAGAGCTGAGGTAGGACTCTCCCTGGATGTTACTCATCACCACAGAGACCTGGGCTGAGACATTTTCCACAGCTACGGTGTGGCCAGGACACAGGAAGCCAAAGCCCTCCATCCCGAGCTGGCTGCTGACTTGGTCCCCGGTGTCTGGAGACATCTGGGGAGAAGGACCATGGTTTTGTCTCTTCAAAAGTCATGAACGGTCCCATTAAATAAAACAGGAACAAAGGCTTCTGTGGAAAGGGGATGAGAGATACCTCACCTTCCAGGAAGGGGGCCAGGCAGTGTGCTGAGCAAGTGCCCCAGCAAGGGGTGTGGGTGCTGGCCCAGGGAGGGCCACCCTGCATGGAGATGCAGTGCCAGCCACAGGGAAGCCTGCTGCACCTGGCCCAGCAGGCCTTGCAGAAGCATCACTGCACACAGATGCCCCTACGCAGGCACCAGGCTGTGGAGCCAGGAAGCTGAGACACAGCATGGAAAGGCACGTTTGTCCACCCGGGAAGGTGGCAGGAGACTGAGCAGGACACAGTGGTATTTGGTGTATTCCCAACATGAGAAGAACGTGTGGCTGAGCCAGGCCCCAAGCACTCCGGGGCTCAGGGGGTACAGGCCTCCTGGCCAGGCAGACGCCCCATCACACAGAGCACAGTCCCTGCAACCCACACAACTTTGCGTGGAGGCCCAGGACACTCCTCAGGCGGCACTGAACATCCGAGCCCACAGATCAGAACCTCAACATCCTGAGCATGTGCTCAGGTGAAAAATCCCTCAGAGGGACCTGGGTGCCACACGTTTCAGCATTGCTGTGAACAGTCATTGGGGATGTGTGCAGAGGCACACGGGAAAAGTCCTGTGCTCAGACTGGTCCTGTCTCCAAGACATCCCGTGTCCACTCCAGCGTCTGGAATCCCCACACCAGTGCTTACACTTACTGCCCTGAGCAAAACCCCTGTGCAGTCTGCAGATCTCTGCTGTGAGCCTGAACTGCCCTCAACTCAGTCTGTGGGTGCCGGGCAGAGACCCAGCAGCTACAGTGGTGTCCAGTATCTCCACCCATCCCAGCTCCCCAGTCCTCCCCCTCCCAAGCCTCCTTGCGGGCCCTGCAGCGTGGTGACACTGCCCCCGTGTGGCTGCAGTGGATCTCCAGACAGACAGAGGGCCAGTAGCATGACCGGAGCACAAGAGGGCAGGTGAGGCAGTAGGCACAGCCCTGCACCAAGCTGTGGCCATGAACGTGCCCTCCGCAGCACCCAGAACCTGAAGACTGTCCGTGCTGCTTTCCACACACGTCATGCGAAGACTGGACACCAAGTCCATGAGCTCCAGGTGCACCCACTCCTTGGAAATGACCACAGCAGGCAAATGTGCTGGAACATGGCCTCTATCCCAACACTCTGGAAGCTGAGGCAGGAGGATCACAGGTTAGAGTCCAGTCAGCATAACAGTAACTTAGCAAGGACTGGAAACTTAGCTCAGTGTGAAAGCCTTGGGTTCAAGACCAAGAAACAAATGCAAAAGAAAAAAAAAAAGAGGCTAGCACCTCTCACTCAGCTGAGACTCATGCATGCCAGGGTGTCCACCAGGAAGCAAAGAAAGCAGAGAAAGTCACACGTGACCCCCAGGTGCTCCACTATTTGAACACAGGAATGGGGAGGACCCAAGGCATGGATCCTATGTGCCACACAGGACAGGACAACAATATGATTCTGAGAACGAGGCCCAAAGAGGACCTGCCAGAAAGGATCAGACATGGGGTCCTGGGCTCACTGAGGGGTCTGCAAAGGGATGACACCCAGACACAGCACAGGATCTGGGACAAGAGCCACCTCCCACAAGAGGACACCCACTCCTCACACAGGATAGACCACTGTGGGACCCGCCCCTCACGCTGCACTGCACAGGGACACACAGTAGCCCCCGTCCTCACAGATCCCTCCCTGTAGTCACATGCACCTGTTCCCTCCTCAGTCCTCACTCCACTGGGCCAGTCACCTCCTCCCATGCCCGTGACACCCCATGCCTCCTCACCACCCCTTCCCTAAGCCAACTATACTTCCTGCCTATCTTTGGCCTTGGTTTGCCCACTATACCGGGCCCACGCACCTCCCGACTGGCCTGGCCGCTCCTTTGTCTCAGAGAATGTTAGGTGTTACCGGGGATGGCATCATCTCCTTTGGCCCCTCTGTCTTCATCTCTTCCTGAAACCCTGCTCTCACCCTAACCCAGGGTGCTGTGGGCCATGTACACCCTGCTGTCCCCAGTGTCAGGCCCTGTTAACCTGATGCTCCACAATGCCCATCCCCATGGACGCTCCCTACTCCGTGCTACTGCACTCTCAAAGCCATGGAGCCTGACACACACCGTGTATTGGCTGGAAAGGTGTAGTCATTGTTAGGGCGGCAGGGCTGGGCAGGGCAGGGGATGCAGCAGGGCTGCTGGGAAGGTGGACCTTCAGCAGGTGAGGGTGCACTGGCCAGGCAGGCCTCAGCACGTCCTTCTATGTAGGGAGTCACAGAAGGACAGTGCTGAGGGACCTGGACGTGGGTGAGAGTGTGTATGGGCTTGGTGCTGGCCACCTGTCTCCAAGGTAATGACAAAGAAGGTCATGGGGCAGAGGAGGAGCCTGGCAGGGTCCTCAGGTCATGGTGAATGTCTTCCAGGTGACTGATGCTGTTCTGAGGGGCCACAGAGGCACAGGCCTGGTCTCCCCAGTGTGGTCTTCCCGAGGCCACACAGACAAGGCTGCCTAATCTCGGGCCTGGCACCTCCCAAACAGCCATCTAGATACCTCTCTCCCTCCCTCATTCTGAGCTTCTAGAACTGCTGTACTGAGCAGCACAACCCAGACCAGTAAGATCCTCTCTGAATGGCTAAGTGTTTGGCCACAATAACGAGACACTGGAGGCAATGAACTTAGAAGGAGCTGAGGTTCAATGTTCTGCCAGCCCTGCAGGATTCCAGCTCTAAACCAGGAGGCCAACTGCTTGGGCCTGTAACTGAGGCGGTGCACGGTGGCAGGGACACGTGAAGGGGCCAAAACACTCACCTTATCACGAGCCAGGAAGTAAAAGGAGGCGGAGGACAGGGCCCCCACCCCCTCAGGGAAGGCTATGCACCAGAGACCTAAGGACCTCCCATGGTCCCTTTCCTTAAGGCGCCCCAGCCTCCACGCTGGACCAAGCCTGTAGCGCAGGGGCTTCTGGGAACACTCAGCACCCAACCATGTCAAGATGCGCCTCAATCCACATGTCAGCCCAGCATAGTATGCAGTGAAGAATGGCTGCCTGAGTGCTGTGCCCAGCTTTTCCACTCAAAATTCTGCACACCAGGGCCAGCTATTCACCTGCAGGCCACACGGGACAGCTCCGTCCCACGGAGGAAGTGGCTCCTACGCTCCCGAGCCCTGCAGCATCTCCCAGCAGCTGAATCTTCTCACTGAACTGCACTTCTAAAATGGGGATGACCTCTGGCATCTTGGCAGATATCACGCGGTAAGCCATGTCAGGCTTCCCAATGAACTGCTGGCAAATGCTCACTTCGTAGGGTGAGTGGACCTTAATATCGTCCACATCTTCCCTCTGGAACCTGTGCAGGAGCACAGAGCTGGAGTCGTGGATTTCCAGGGCAGACACCAGGACAGTAAGCCTTCCTGGCTGGGCGTGAGACTCTGTTCTTTGGGAGATCACTGCGGGGACCTGGATCATGATCCCTTCCTTTCTACACTGCTCACCAACAGCAACCGAGGCAGTGTCCCTGGGCTTCCCTTCTTCGGGCGTCCTCCAAAGACTGGAGCGAAATGGCCACCAGGATGGGGACTCTAGTTCTGTCAGCAATCTGGAAGAACAAAGAAAATACCTGAGCCAGCCGGTTAAAGAGTGATGCTTTTGGGGTTTTAGAAGACTGTTTTAACATTTCCAAAGCATTACCATCTTACAGCCAATGTTCCCTGAAGCACCCATCCAGCAAACAGCAGGGCCATCACCTGCATGTCTGAGGATCAGAACCAGAGGCTTAGGGCATGGCAGGTACCACCTGGAGGAACCCAGCTAACAAGGAGGACTGAGCAAACCCGCACACCTAGCAGCAACGTCACTCTTGCCAGGCCACAGTGCTGTGGCCTGGGGAATTCGGACTTGTGCACTAATCAGTCGCAGGCTCTGGACAGCAGAATGTGGACATGTCCTAAGTCTACACTATCCAAAGGGTAGGAGGCACCTGTGGCCATACTCACTTGAAGTGCAGCCAATGCAACTGAGGAACAGCATTCTTAATAATTCAGTTTCAGCATGGTTAGTGGCTATCATGTTGGACAGCACAGTTGCAGAGGAACCACTAACACCACCAAGAGAGATGCCTACTGAGTCAACAGAATAGAGACAGCTGGAGGCAGGACAGAAAAGCCAAGGTCAAATGGAACAGACAGAGAGTGAACAGCAAGAGGGTAGAATGACACTGACCCATGTTTACCAATCATGCTCATGTACATAGATGAGATACTCCAGCTGGAAGGCGAACGATCAGCCTAGGGAAAGAAACAAGACTCAGCTACAGCTTGTTTAGAGACGTACTATAAGATATGAAAACACAGACACACGGAAAGCAAGAGAATGCACACAGATACACTATCATGCTAAAAGCAAATGAGTACTACCAGGGGCACTGCATGGTTATAAGCACTTTAAAATTCACCAAAACTAGGACCAGGGGTTTGGCTCAGTGGTTCCGCCACCTGCCTCAAAAGTGCAAGGGCTGGAGTTCAATCCCTGGTACCAAAAAAAAAAAAAGTCCACAGGAAATGAGGCACAGGCACCTTGTGATCTCTCCCAGTCTTTCTGACCTGTTGCACTTCCTTTCACAGCCTTAATTATCTTCTTTCAGGGCCGGGGATTTAGCTCAGTGGTTCTGCCACCTGCCTTGTAAACACAAGAACCCGAGTTCGATGTCTGGTGCCAAAAAACAAACAAACAAACAAAAAATTCACCAAAACTAAATGGAGAAAGATATGATCATAGCTATTGATTTGAACACATTTCTCTCAATGATTGATAAAATAACAAGACTGTTTGACTAGTTCCCTCACTGGCAGGTCCAGAAACACCACCCAACAGCTGTGGAGTGTGCACTACATCAACTGTATGGAAAACATCCACAAGGAAGACAGCAGCAAGTACCAACAGTGCTCTGTCCACAAAGAAATGAGAAAAGGAATCAGGAGCTAAAGGGGCCTCAAATCTTTGGAAATTAATCACGTACTTAAGTAATACATAGATCCAAAAAGGACAAAAGGGAATTTGGAAAAAATTGAAAGTGAATGAAAATACAATATATAAAATTGGCAAGAAAATAGAGCAGACATAAGCTAGAAAATTATAGATTTTAGTGTGTTTATATGAAAACTTCACAGAAAAGTTCAAAAGCAGTGATCTAAGCTGGGGCTAGGGACACAGCTCACTGGTACAGCATCTGCTTTGTGTAGCATGTGCCAAGCCCTGGTTCCATATCCAGCACCACACACACACACACACACACACACACATACCCCTACCTATCCTAGAACAAATTAGCCTCAAAGAAGTAGAAATGACACACAGAAACCGAAGAAACTAAAAAAACAAAACAAAAGCATTACTAAAGCCAAAATTTGTTTTTTTAAAGTAATTTTTAAAAATTAAACTACCACTAACAAGTAATGGTCAAGGGAAAAATAGAGACAATACAAATTACCAACGCTGGGGATGAGAAAGGGCACATTACCACGGAGCCTGAAACGCTTAAAAGAGATTATCTTCAACACCAATAAACTCACTAATTACATGAAACAGAAAAAACACTTGAAAAGCCCAAGGCAAGAAGAAGGTCACGAACAAGAAATAAACTGAACTAGTAATTACAGATCTCACCAGGATGAAACTGTGGTCCAGGTTTCCTGGATCCACGGTGAATCCCGTAAGAAAGCAGCCACAGGGACAGTGCTCAAAACCCTGTTACCAACAGCACAGAGCAGAAGCCCTGTTCCACTTGTGCCACAGACCACGAGACTCACACCACACTAAGACAGTGCAAGAGGACATGGCCTGTGACAGCACTCACACCTCAGGGCAGCGGCAGCGTGCACAGCTGATGACAGCAAAAGTAGTAAATCATGAGTTATGGCATCTGCTGGGACAGGGAGATGAGGCTGGTTCAATGCCTAGAAACCCACCTCCTTAGAGAAATAGAGAAGTGACTGTATGGTCACAGCAGGTGCAGAGAAGAACCCAGGCAGAGGCACGCATGACCACGTGAAGCCTTCCAGCAAGCTGAAGGGGCGGAACACAGTCCACTGTCATCAAAAGAACAGAACATAGAAGGTGGGCAGATTGCGCCAGGTGTGGTGGCACACGCCTATGATTCCAGCACTCTGGGTGGTGGAGGCAGGAGAATCACAAGTTTGACTCTGGCCTAGGCAATTTGGAAACTTAGCAAAATCCTCTCTCAAAATTTTAAAAAGGCCTATAAAGACAGCTCAATGAGTTCAATCTCTAATACCACAAAACAAACAAACAAAAACAAAAATCCAACCAGGCAGATTTCTAAATTCTTCAAGCTTTGAACATATTCCTCAAGTATGGCTTTGTGAAATATATTTGGCTGCATGTCTCAGCTCCCCAAACCCTGGGCTCTCTGGGGTTAACAAATTGCCTGATGATGAGCCGGCCACTGGCCAGCAGCCCTGGGCAGCTTCAGTGTGGGGCTGACACTGAAAGAACAAGGCAGGATCCCAGGGTTGGGACTCCCAGCCCTGCCCAGCCTCCCCGAGGGCAGAGGGGCTGAGGGTCCAGCTGATCTCCAGCGCCCAGTGAGGCAGTCAGGCCCACCCATGTCACAAAGCCTCTGTGAACCCCAAGGCCAGGGCTCAGAGGGCTTGGGGAGGGCAGGGCCCAGGGAGGACAGGGAGCCCAGGCTCCCCACACCTGCCCTGTGGGTCTCCTCCTCTGCACCTTGGTAAGGTCCTGATGATAAACCAGGCACCGAGCTAGCGTCTCCCCGGGCCCTAGGAGTGACAGGAGCAGGTCCATCCACCCAAAGAAGGGTCGTGGGGACCCTGCTTTGTAGTCAGCCAGGGAGGGAGTCAGAATCCCAGGGAAGACAGCCTGGGCTTGCGGTGGCCTCTGAAGTGGGGGCCGCATTGGGACGGAGCCCCCGGCTGTGGGTGGTGCTGTCTGCAGGCAGGGGCCTCCCCTCCTGGGCCAGGGCTCGAGGACACTTTGGTTAATACAGTGTTGTGACACAGTGCTCCAAGTATCCAGGTCACAAAGGAAAATCACCTGCCACATAAAAGAACTAGGAAAACCTTGACCTGATGGAGGACACACAAATAGCATATGGCAAAACCAAGATGCTTGACTGGCAAAATATCTGAAATAGGCTTTCAAACATCCATTGTAAAAATGCTTCTATAAGGCTTTAAGAACAGGCTTAGAGAAGGGTTCCTTTCTCCCCTCAACCCCACCAACATTTGCTATTGGATAATTTCTTGATAGCAGCCATTCTTTCTGGGGTGAGGTAGAATCTCTGTTGTTTTCATCTGCATCTCTCGAATGACCAGTGATGTGGAACATTTTTTTATGTTTATTTGCTGCTATGGAAATCAATATGGAGATACCTCAAACTAGGATTAGAGGTCCCATTTGACCCAGACATCCCTCTGCTGGGTATCTTCCCAAAAGAATTAAAAGAATCCTATCACAGTGATACATGAGCACTCACGTTTACAGCGGCATAGTTCATAATAGCTAAAACTTGGAAACAGCCCAATTGCCCATCAACTGGGGACTGGATAAAGAAAATGTGGGTTTTTTTTTCTGAAATGGAGTACTACTCAGCCATAAAAAATGAGAAACTAGAGACATTTATAGCTAAATGGATGCACATTGAGGCCATACTCTTACGTGAAATAAATAGGACACACATGGAAATACCGAATAGCTTCTCTGGTATGAGAAACTCAAAGTGCAAATAAGAATTAAATGAATAAATGATAATACGAAATAGGAAGAAAAGGTCCAAAGGGGAAGGGGAAGTCGGAGGGGAGGGGAAAGGAAAGAAGGGAAAGGAAAAAAATATGAGAAAAGGAAAACAATGGAAACAAAGTCTTTGTAAACAGGAAGGGGTAGAGGAGTTGAAAGGGGGAGTAAGGGAATGGGGAAAAAGTAAGAACCAAGACACGTCATGTAAAAGTAGAAGTTCCCAATGATGAGTGTAAACGTATAGTATACCTAAAATATACCAATTAAAGAATGTAAGGTGCTGGGCGTGGTGGCGCACACCCGTAATCCCAGTACTTGGGAGGCTGAGTCAGGAGGATCGCTGTGAGTCCGAGACCAACCTGGGCTACACAGTGAGTTCCAGGTCAGTCTGAACTACATAGTGAGACCCTGTCTCAAAAAACCAAAAACCAAAAAAAGAATTTAAGGATTAAAAAAAATTAAAAAAAGAACAGGCTTGGAACAATGAAAAAGCAGCAAGTCTCAGCAAAGAAACAGAAGACTTAAGAAAATACCATATGAGGCAGGCATGGTGGTACATGCCTGTAATCCCATCACTGGGGAGGCTGAGGCAGGAGGATCGCTGCGAGTTCGAGACCAGCCTGGGCTAAATAGTGAGTTCCAGATCAGTCTCAACTACATAGTGAGACCCCCGTCTCAAAAAACAAAACAAAATAAAAAAGAAAATACCACATGGAAATCTTAGAACTGAGAAATACACTGATAAATAAAACTGGATGGGGAAAATCTCAACATGCCGAAGATAGAGGAAAAAACAGTGAAACTGAAGATTAAACAATGGAAATGACTCAACAACACAGAACAAATATTGAGGGTAGATGGGTGGGAAGAATAATCAGGAATCAATTTAACCAAGGACATGAATGACTTGTGCGTTGAAAACCCAGAACACGGATAAAAGACGTGAGGACTCAAGTAAACAGAAAGACACCCCCAGTTAATGGTTGGGAGATAACACCGCTAACATATGTACATTACCCAAAGCAGTCTACAGAACCGATGCAGTCCCCACCAAAATAACAATAGCTTTGTTTTTGGTTCTGGGGATAGGACGTTGCACTTGTGAGGCAGGCGGTGGTACCGCTGAGCTAAATCCCCGGCCCAACAGCTGTATTTGAAAAAGAGAGGGGAAAAAAATCCTAAAAATACATATAGAACCATAAAAACCAAAGCAATATTTAGAAAGAACAAAGTCGGAGTCCTGATTTCAAACTACACTGCACAAAAGCAGACACAGAAACGCACTGAGCAGCACTTGGCAACACAGACCTGCTGCAATCTTCTCCCATCTCAGGCTCTCCTCAAAACCAGCAGCCTTCAAGTCACTTGGTAAATGGGGCAGAGCAGTATGAAGCGCATCTGCCTCCCAGCCAGGCACAGTGGCACACATCTGTGATCCGAGCAGTCCGGAAGGCTGAGGTAGGAGGATCACAAACTTGAGCCTGGGCAACTTAGTGAGACCCTGTCTCAAAATAAAAAATAAAAGAATGGCTGGGATATAGCTTAGTGCAAAGATCCTGAGTTCAATACACACACTGGGTCTGGGATTTAGCTCAGTGGTGCTGCCACCTGCCCTCACAAGCGCAAAGACCCCAGATTGATCCCCAGTACCGGAAACACACACACACACACACACACACACACACACACATGAACGTGTTGTCTCTAAAGCTTCTGAGACATCCCACACATTGGGCTCAGCTGTTCTGGACTCCAGGTTTGAGGGACATCATGCGGCCTGTACTCCACCCTCATGCCCTCCAGCCTACCCATGTGCACAGACAGCAAGCTTCAGCCCTGTCTGGCTGGATCGCTGTCTCTGCATGCACGTCACCTTCTCTACCTGCTCATGTGACACAGCCTCAGCCGCCAGTAGCAGGGGCCACCCTGGCCCACCGCTGGGTGCAATGTGCTGCCATCCAGTCCTGGCCTGGCTCCTGCTGTCTGTCCAACCTGCTGTGGCAAAGGAGGGTCCTGGGATCCTCGAGGAACATGAGCAGGTCTCCTGGGAAGAACTGTGCTGCCCTCCAGTCCCCTAGGCCTCTGGCTTCCCTCCCAACTTCACCCAGCATGGGCCCCTCCTGGTCCAAGCTCTTCCTGAGCCCTTCCTGAGCACAGCACTGATGACAGCTCTGGAAGGTCCACTCTCCGGGCCACTGCAGTCACTGAGTCACCATGGCCAACCAAGCTCCAGGGTTCTGTCACCATGACTCCTCAGCTGGCATTCTCCAGATCCTGTCTGTGTGCAGTGGAAAAGCATGCACCCCTGCACACTCAAGTCTGCACACATCCAGGGGTGGAGGGTGGGGCAGGACTTGCCGGGGCTTTGACATCTTGCAGACAGCAGGCCTAGGCCAGGGCCGAGTCCCCTAGCAGAGCATGGCTGCTCTCAGACCAGGCAAGGGCTGCTTCCACTGGCAAAGGAGACCTGAGCCAACTCTAGGGACCCAAATCTCCAGTTCTGTCAGGACCTCCCCACATGTCCGTGTGTCCACTGCTTCTTGGTCCTGCCCTCAGGATGACGGCAGACACATACAAGTTGGGGTTCAGATGCACACTCGGCAACTGCAGGAGATTAGATGCTGTGCTCAGAATGCATAGGCCTGCAGCAACAAGAGCCATGGGTTTCCCACAGGTGGGCAGACGGGGAGAGTTCCAGGTCCTGTGTACACTGGCCTTTTTTCAACCTTCCCTGTCCCCACAATGCTCACTAGGCTGACAGATGTTCAGGGTCCCCGGAAGAGTCCTGGGTACCACGGCCAGCATTGAGACTGGAGTTAGCCACACCGCTGTCCCCTCTGCACCACTGCACACAGCTCTCAGCAGAGAACCTCTCAGAACAGCCATCCTGCAGCTCAGCAGCAGAACCTGTGTCAGTCACGTTCTCCGGGGGAACAGAACCGGTGAGGAACACATGTGAGTGCATGTGCGTGCACAAGCGTGTGTCTGCGTAGGCAGAAGGGAGAGAGAAACAGGAGGGAGAGAGGTGCAGGGAGAGGAAACGGAGAAGGAAGAGAGATGGGGGTGGGCAGGAGGAAGGAGGAGGGAAGAAGAGCAGGAAGGGAAAGGGAGGAGCGGAGAGAAATAAGGAAAAGAAGAGAAAAAATAAAGTGGCAGAGAATTAGGGATAGAGGGACAGAGAGAAGAAAAGGAGAGAGCGAGGAAGGGATAGGGAAAGAGAAACTGGTTTAAGGAAATGGTGCAAGTGATTCGTGAAGTTGACATAGAGCTACCTAAAGCAATCTGGCCTATTGATGGAGCTATTAACAAAGCTGGACAGCAGAAAAATCACATTTTATTTTCATTAATTTCTGAATAAAAGTTTCGGATCTCCTGGGTTCCGCCTGTAAGGACCCACATCACAGAAGCACCGGTGCCAGCCCCCCCCGAAAGGCCCCAGCGCTCTCCGTCTGTCCCCAGGGTGCCCCTCACAGTCACGCAGCCATCGGGGTGGAGCTGCAGACAGCCTGGGGAGAGCTGCCTGGCCGGCCACGCCTTCCCTCACATCTGCCCCGATGGAAAAAGCTTGCGGGGCACCTCCTGGCCACTTCCTCCCAGGCCGATCTCTGACCCGCTCTCCCTGAGGCTGTCCCTCATTTCCTCGGTGTCTCTGGAACAAGGCAATACCTGCAGGTGCGGGGTACTGTGAGGGTCTATGGTCTGGGCTACGAGATGAGAGATCTGCAGGCCCGGAGAGCAGCTGTGCAGCTGAGTTGGCCACACTGCTGAAATCTACCGGGAGGTGGATCATTGTATTTTCAACACACCAGAAAAAAGAAAGTCTCTGTACCCATGTTGACTTCTTAGCCACGTCAGCTTTGATGAACTGCACGCCAAAGCCGTGAGTTGTAGTGCATCTGCTTATGCCCACCACTCATCCTGCAGGTGTGGCGCCTGTTGCCATGACAGGCCTATGTGGTAGAGGGACAGAGCTCCCCAGACCAGGGCACCGCTGTGAGACCTGTGGGCCCAGCCATTGGCCTGCCAGCAGGGGCAGCTCTGTGACCCGGACAGGTCACCTAGGAATGACAAAATGCAAGAGGCCAGGCCTCGGGCCCCATGCCAGGGCATGGGCTGTCACACGCACAGCCCGGGACACGTGTCAGTGAGGAGTCCCAGAGCTGCGCCAGGGTCCCACAGGGAGGACCAAGGGTCACAGTGTGCTATCCTTGGAGAGGGTTTTTTAGCACGAAAGCCCAGGAAGATGGTGAGGTAGATGCTGTGGTGACCTCTCCAAAGAAGGGTGGGGTCACATGGGGTGGGCCGTGGGGGTCCCCATGACAGGGGTGACCATCATCAGGAGGGCTCTGCAAAGACCTGAGAGCAGGGTCAGCACTGCAGCCCCCTACACAGGGACAGCAGGACAAGGTGAAAAATAATTTAATAAATATAAAGCAGAATAAAAATAAAGCACAAAGCAGAGAAAATATATAAGAAAACAAGTAAAGGATGACAGACATACAAAAAGGGAGTTCTACACAGACTGTGGTGCACAATGTGGTGGAAAGCTGGGCCTAGGGGCATATAGCTATAATCCTAGCACTCTGGAGGCTGAGGCAGGAGGATCCCTGAGCTCAAGATCTGGTCTCAAGGCCAGCCTGAACTACATAGTGAGACCCTATCTCAAAAAACCAAACACAATTTTAAAATTTAAAAAGTAAAAATAAATAAAAACGTGATGGAGAAATAATATAGGGACAATTCCCATTCTGAGGGACAAACCTTAAGCTCCCCAAGGTCTACCACAAAACACATCTGGAAACGCATACAGGAAAACCATGACACAGCTTAACACAGACTGTCACCGAGAAGGAACACGTGTCACCCCTAGGAGCCATACACATCGTCGGGACGCGATGCCTCCTCAAGGCAGCTTGTCACCATGAGGACACTTGCCCAGCTGCAGGGGCCCCTTCAGCTGCCCAGTGGGGCACAGGCTCGCCTCAGGACGTGCACCCCTCACCCCTTGTGGGAGGACAGCAGCCTCAGTCGCCCACCTGTCGGCCACATCCAGGTCTGCCTCCATCTTGTCCAGGCCCCTCATGACACTGTCCAGCTGCTCGCCCTGGTGGTGTAGGACCTTGGCTGTGTCCTCCAGGCGCCTCTGAGAGCTGGACATCAACCCAGTCAGCTCCTGCCCCCTGGTCAGGGTGGAGGGGGACGCCTCTGCAGCAGTGCCTTCCTGGGACAGCAGCAGTTCCCTCCAGAAGTGCTCGATGATGTTGAAGACAACATTGCGGCTGGGCCGCAGGGAGCTGAACCAGTGCTTGAGGTGGCCCCGCTCAAGAATAGTGATAGCACTGAAGATAAAGTGTGAAGCTTCCTTCCTGATCGCCACAACGCTGGAGAGGGGCAAGCCCATGAGAACCTCTCCAACTCTGTCAGCCGTGAACTTCAGTGAGTGAGGCGTCAAGGATAGTTTCCCGGGGACCCATCGCTTTTCAAGGTCCAAGTAGTAGGAGCAGGGCCAGGAATGAACACAGACATCGCTGCTCATCTTCCCTGGGTCTGCTGTACCATGCCAAGGCCACACATACACCTCTGAAGGAGAAGAGACAGGTTAGTGGTCAGTCAAGGTAGAAACCCAGTCCATGACTCCTAGACTAGAGACACAAGGAAACCAACTAGGAAACCAAAGCGGTGCTGAAGGCCTTTCTCAGCAGCTGAAGGATGAAGCCAAGGCTCCTGTTTGGCAAAGGAAGAAAGGGCAGGGTGGAGAGAAATTAGAACCACGATGCCAGGTCCAGAACTGTATTCATCCCCTCTGTCACCCTAATATAGAGCTTCTGGCCCTCTGCCAACTGGGCATATCTTAAAGGACAGCTCCTAGGGCCAGAGCAGCAGCTCATCCTCAGACCATTCCTACAGGAAGGAGAAATAAAGTCTTTCCTAGACAAGCACAAATGGAGAGAATTCATCACTACCATGCCCACTCTATAAGAAATGTGTAAGTTACTCCTACACTGAAAACTAGAGGATGATCAGTACCATTATGAAATCACACCCAAGTACAAGGTTTAGTAGCAAACAAAACATACACAAAAGAAAGAGAGGAAAATCAAACTCAGCATGACAGAAAATTTCCAAACTACAGACATGAATGAGAGGTGAAACAGAATAAAACATTAAAAAATAATTAGAAAACAATAATGAATAGGAATAATAGGAGTAAGTTCATAGGTATCAACAAAAATCTTGAGTGTGTATAGATTAAAATCACCAATCAAGATGGGTATGGCGGAGTGCAACTGCAGTCCCAGCACTGGGGAGGCTGAGGCAGAAGGACTGCCGTGAGTTCAAGGCAAGCCTGAGCTACACAGTGAGACCCTGTCTCAAAAAAACCAAAAATAAAAAATAAAAAATGATATCACCAATCAAAAGAAACAGACTGGCTGAATAGATTAAAAACTATATGCTGGGCTGGGGAATCTAGCTCAGTGGTTCTGCCATCTGCCTCGCAAGTGCAAGGTCCTGAGTTTAACCCCTGGTACAAAACAAACAAACAAACAAACAAACAAAAAAAAACTATATGCTGCCAACAAGAAACTCAATTCACTGGCAGAGATACATGGACTAACACATGAATCACTGGGAAAAAATATACCACGCAAATGAAACCAAAGTGAGCAGGAATAGCTATTACTCAGATAAAGCACACTTTAAATCAAAATTGTATAGGAGACAGAGGGCATTAAAAAAATTAAAATGTGTTATGTACATGTATCAACTCTATACAAGGAATATAATCATTGTGTACTGCAAATATATTCTAATGAAAATTTAAAAATAAAAACAAAAATAAAGAGAAATTAATATTAATTATACAATGATAAAAAGATCAATTCAGCAAGAAGATGTAACTACTAGGCCACCAAAAACATAAATATTACTAGATCTAAAGGGAGAGATAGACTCCAGTATAATAATAGTTAAGGTCTTCAATACCCTACTTTCATCAATGGACAGATAGATAATCCAGACAGAAAATCAACAAAGATACATCTGAATTAAACCAAACTAAAGCAAATGGATCTAACAGATGTTGGCAGGAATTTCACTCAACATCAGTGGAACACACATTCTTCTCAGTAACACATGGAGCATTCTCCAGGATAGATCATATATGACAGAACATAAATCAAACATCAATACTTTTTTTTTTTGGTACCAGGGATTGAACTTGGGACCTTACACTTGAAGATCAGTATATTTTTAAAAGCTGAAATTATGTCACGTATCTTCTCAACCACAACAGAATAAAACTAAAAATCCACAAGAAGAATGTAGGAAAATACAGAAGTACATGGAAATTGAATGACATATTCCTAAATAACAATGGTTATTCAAAGAAATTTAAAGAAAAAAAAAGATTTTGAAACAAAGAAAACTGAACACAAAACATTAAAATCTGTGATACAAGCCGGGCATGGTGGCACAAACCTGTAATCCCAGCACTCGGGAGGCTGAGGTAGAAGGATCACTGTGAGTTCGAGACCAGACTGAACTCCAGGTCAGTCTCAACTACATAGTGAGACCCTGTCTCAAAAAACCAAAAAAAAAAAAAAAA